AGAGAGAGATAGAGAGAGAGAGAGAGAGAGAGAACAATTCTGAGCTATGTGGCTTAGAGAATCCCCCCTCCCCCGTGTGTGTGTGTGTGTGTGTGTGTGTGTGTGTGTGTGTGTGTGTGTTTAGCCTTTTCCTATCTCTTGCCTTTGCCCTAAACCCTTTCCAGCAGGATAGGAGAGGCAGACACAGTGGCCCATACCCATACCATGGCTCTTGGAAGAATGAGACAGGGTAGAGCCATCAAGGATAGCCTGGGCTACAAGGAGACCCCCCCCAGGTAGAGGGAGAACTCAGAACATTCTTCCAGTGTAAGATGCCCACCCTGGCCAGTCATGGAGGCACACGCCTTTAATCCCAGTACTAGGGAAGCAGAGGCAGGTGGATCTCTGAAAGTTTGAGGCCAGCCTGGTCTCCAGAGTGAGTTCCAAACCAGCTGGGACCACAGAGTGAGACCCTGTCTTAAAAAGTTAAATTAAATTAAATTAAATTAAAAGGTGTACACCCTGTAGCTGTCAACATTCTGCCCTGACTACAGCAGATGTCTGTATCTTGTACCACTAGGAAGGGGGGTGAGTGATGACATTGTCGTTTCTCTCGCCCTTTCTGGGTTCTACTGGAACTGGGTGGGGCTGTGTCCTTAGATCTGACCAATAAGTGCTCAGGATTGTGAGTGCTTTGGTTGTCTTTGGGCCACAGAGACCTCCTGACTCCATCTACATGTCCATAAGTTAGCAATGCATCCCAGTGGCCTTCCTCCACTGAGACTTTTGATACTATTTGTTACTGATACTACCCGGAGCCTAAACTGACTGATACAGCTGGCTATGAGGCAAGGCCATAAATAGCGCTCATTTATCTTCTGTGTCCTTCCGAGGTCTCTGTCTAGACTCTAAAGAAGTGCTGATGTGTCTTTAACATTTGCCAATGGAATTGTTGTTTGGGGTATGTGATTTAGTTTTGGTTTTTGGAAAGGCTCTCGCTAAGTAGTCCAGGCTGGTCTTAAGCTCACAGTCCTCCTGCCTTAGCCTTCAGAGTGCTGAGATGTCCAGCTTGTACCGCTGCACCCGCCTCCTGTCTTTTAGGGAAAGAGAGGAAAACAAATACTAATTTTTTATTTGTGGTGGTGATAAAAAATAAATGCCACTAATGATTTTTAAAAAGAAGTTAATCCTCCAAAGAAAAAACATAAATATCAATAAAAGGAACATTCTAATAGGGCAACACTCAACCCGCACACAGCCAGGACGCGGTGTCTGAGAGTCACCTGGCCTGCATTTTAGCTTCACCAACAGAGGGTGGGCAAATTGGTCTCTGCAGTTCAGTCTGGCTCTCAAGAAGTTTTCTGGAATGAATGAATGAATGAGTGAATGAGTGAATGAATGAGTGAATGAGAGGGCCCGGAATCTGCAGGTGATTGTATTAAAGGCAGAGGTATTGGCCCATCGCTCAGGTCTCCTGGTTTCCCGTACACCCCTTCTCCGGGTGATTGCCTATCCCAGCATCCTCCAAAGATCTCCTGAGGGTCCCTGACCACCGCAGTCCCAGTCTTCAGGGTGTGGCTGGGTTAAGGGTGGAGTCAGGAGGCAGGAGAAGCAATGTACACCACTCTTGGCCAGTTGCCAGGGAGAGATCAGGAAGGAGGTGGTTGCTATGGTAACCAGGGCATCTTTCGAGGTGATTGGGGTCCTGGCACTTCAGGCTGGGTGGGGTCCTATGAGATTTTTGGGGGTTGGGCTAATCTTATCTCCCATCTTTGCCCCTGCAGACCTGGCTTCTGGTCAAGCTGGGTGTCTTGGCTCCCAAAAATGGTGACCTAGACCCAGGTATGCCAGCA